CTTTTCTTTTTTTTTAAATTTAATTAAGGAACAGCCAGAGAACTACACGTGGAGCAGTGGAACACGTGGGACTCGGTGGCCAGCCCTCGTGATACCGGATCTCAAGTCAAGTGACAGGGGGAGACAAACGGTGTGAGAAGGACACCAGGAACCCTTCCCAGGCGGCGAGCCAGCCATCCAGCCCCAGGAGTGACCGGAAGAGGCCCTATCACTGGTGATAACAAGACGCTAGCGTAGTCAACAAGGACCCACGTGGACACGAGATCAGAGGAACCGACAAGCAGCGGCGCCCATTTTGTTTCTTCAAACAGGAAAAGCCGACGTTCCCAGGGACTGGAAGCAAGGAGGACAGGAGCTGGAGCCTACCCCACAGGAGAAAACGGACCCTCCGCCCTCGCAGGAACCTCACCAGGCTCAAGCTCTGGTCCCCTAGTGGTACAGGGGAGAATAGGAGAGAAGCAGGGAGCTGCACCCCACCCCTACGAGGACCCAGGAGCTGGAGGAACCAGGAGGACTGAGCAACAAGGGACCCCCGGGAGAGTGGCACCTGTTCCCAGAGCCATTGGCGACAGAAGCGGAGTTCGACCGACACAAGCCGACACAACCCTTTAGCATTTGTAACATATATTTTCCAGCGGTTATCCTAGGTTGTGGGACCTTACGGGTTAATATCTATCCAGTGTATTTTTTGTGGAGCAGACCCAGGGCAGGAGGATAGTGGGACCAAGCCCCCAAAGGCCCCCCTGTGCCCCCTAGGGGCCCAAGGGACCCCCTAAGGATCCCCAGAAACCTGTTTTTTTTTGGACCTTTAGACCCTGTGTGTAGCCTTGTAAGATTTAAGTATACCCACCCCTAACCTTTAAAACAGGATACTTTGGAGAACCTGTTAGCACCTAACCTAACCTACCCATGCCTCTAGTACGTAGCTTAGGATTGCACCAAAACTAGGATATGTACCTATGAGACTCAGCATGGAATACTTTATTTTGGAATGTTGTTAATGTTCACTGGATGTTTTTGTTGGAAGCACAACCTCGTGTTCTGGGAAACATTATGTACAGTCAGCACCTAACCTAACCTACCCATGCCGCAAATACGTAACCTAGGATAACACAAGGATTACACCAAGCTAGGATATGTACTTGTGAGACTCAGCATGGAGTACTTATATTTGCAACATTGTATATTTTTTTCACTGGATGTAATGTGTAAAACACAATCTCGGGTTTTTGGAAACAATGTATACAGTGGACCCCCGCATAACGATGGCATCACATAGCGATTATTTCGCATACCGCTTACTTTAATTGCAAAAATTTTGCCTCACATACCGCTTAAAAACCCGCTTACCGATTTTCGTCCGAGACGCGTCCAATGTGCGGCCTGAGCCACGCTCACATGTTCCGCCGGTGGCATTGTTTACCAGCCAGCCTCCGCGGTAACATCCAAGCATACAATCGGAATATTTCGTATTATTACAGTGTTTTCGGTGCTTTTTCTGGAAAATAAGTGACCATGGGCCCCAAGAAAGCTTCTAGTGCCAACCCCTACAGCAATAAGGGTGAGAATTACAATAGAGATGAAGAAAAAGATCATTGATAAGTATGAAAGTGGAGTGCATGTCTCCGAGCTGGCCAGGTGTATAATAAACCCCAGTCAACCATCGCTACTATTGGTGGTACAGCTGCTGCTGCTGCTGCACTGTCAGCTGCTGCTGCTGCTGTAGCACCATTGTTGGTGTGGCTTATTGAGAATACCAAGAAACAATTAACCCCAAAAGGATTTGCCACCCAGGATAACCCAAAAAAGTCAGTGTCATCGAAGACTGTCTAACTTATTTCCATTGGTGTCCTTAATTTTGTCTCCCAGGATGCAACCCACACAAGTCGACTAACACCCAGGTGAACAGGGAAAAAATGCCTGGAACAAGTGCTCATATTGGTGAATTTTAAAGCCAGCAAAGGTTGGTTTGAGAGATTTAAGAATCGTAGTGGCATACACATGTGATAAGGCCTGTTCTGGAAGAAAATGCCAAACAGGACCTACAGTACTCAGGAGGAAAAGGCACCCCAGGAACAGGGGTTTAATCAGTCATTGCTGCATCTTCAAAAAAGGTAAGTGTCATTTATTCTTCATTTAGTAGACTAGTACATGCACAATATATACTGTGCATGTACTACTCTACTATTGTGCATGTATCCTTCTCTTTGTGTGTGGGAAAATGTATATTTCATGTGGTAAAATTTTTTTTTTCATACTTTTGGGTGTCTTGCACGGATTAATTTTATTTCCATTATTTCTTATGGGGAAAATTCATTCACATAACGATTATTTCGCATAACAATTACCCCTCTTGCACGGATTAAAATCGTTAACCGGGGGTCCACTGTATATTCACTGATAACTTGTAATATTCGAAAAACCTTCTATTGTACACCTGTTCTTTGTAAGACTAAGCATGTAGTCATGTATGGCACCACACCTTGTACTGAGCCGCGGATATATAAGCCCCGGCAGCCGTAACGAATAAACAGTAGAGCACACAAGTCCATAGAGGCTAGACCAAAGGCCTGAAGACTCCCTGTGGGGAAGAAACGCGTCGCCTGGAAAACTAGACCGACTAAGACTTGTGTTTGTGCCCTTGTTCACGTACAGTACTTGTGTGTGTAATTCCAACCTGAGAAAACTGTGACTTTACAATGAGCGATCTCGCTTCACTAGAGAACGAGAGGGTAGAAGTGCTAGAGGATTCACCACCATGGGAATTGGAAACAGTGACTGCAGGTTTCAAACTAGTGACGACAGAGGATGAGGACCACACCTGGAACCCCAGGCTGCCCTTTGAAGACCCCCTGGCGAACACCGAGGAACAATGCAGCAATGTCATCACCCACCGAGGGAAAATGAAGACACTCAATGAAGGTAGTGTACTCTGTGGTGCTTGGTCTCTAATGGCTATGCTAGACTTATCCAAAGGTGTACTAGATAACCTACCCTTTAGCATACACCCAAGCATTTTAACGTTCATTAAAATAACAGTGGACCCGTTCCCAGAAGGGTTAAAACGTTGGAGGCCTACTAAGCCATTTAACAAAAAACAGAAAGCACTGAACATATTGAAAGGTTACTACAAAACTAAAGACAAGTACAGAGCTAAAGCCAACTATATCAAGGACTGCTATGCAATGAATGTGATCCCAGAGATAGGCTTTAGATCCTTCCTGTTGGAGGGAATGCCGGCAGAGTGCCCATACCCCAACTGGTTTATTAACACATGTAGAGCGCTCTCTAGGGAATATATCCACACTATGTCTGGCATGCAGACCCTAGCCTTACAAATAGCAGCTTTGCACATGGAGGAGAAAATTAAGGCCTACAAACAAGTGCTAGTGAGGGAACTGGGAGAGGAAAGAGCAAAGGACATTGCAAGCTTCGCAGGAGCTCAGAGTACTAAATCTAGACGGGTTCCGAAGCCAGGCCTCGAACCCCTGTTGACACCTTGTGACGCCAACCCAATAGCAGTGCCATGCACCATGAGCCATCTAGAGGAAGAGTGGAGTTTCCTGAAACAACCTGCAAGTAGTATCTGCACCCGACCCAATACCCCATCCTCTCCTTTTTCTCCCCCCAACCACCCTCTTCCCTTCTCTTCTTTTTTCGCTGGAAGACAACAACAGCCCATGGACGTTGCCAACCGAGGGAGACCCCGAGACAGAGGGACCACCGAGGGAGTCCACGAGAGTGAGCAGCTTTTACGAAGCCGTAGGTCTTCCCCAACCAACAGACGAGGAGCTGGAAATGAGGGCAGAGCAGCAGGGACGAGAGAGGCCAGCCAAGGAAGAGAGGAATGTCGCCCGCCCCTCTCCAGCAACAGCAACAGAGAAGACACCCCAAGCACCCAGAAAACAACGCCAGCAGCAGCCGGAACAACAGGGACAGCCGACGGCAAGCGACAACAGGGCAAGTAGACACAGCCCAGCGGAGAGCAGCAGCCCCGAAACAGACGGAGATTCAACACTTGGTCCAAGGGGTCCGGGAGCTAGTACAAGTCCTAACAGAGAAGCTACCCGCAACCGCGGGACCAGGAGCTAGAGCTCCCGCCGCAGCCTCGAACCCTGTCCAGCCTTTTTTTCAGATTTCCAGACGACCCCGAGAACGAGGCCCGCGAGACAGGGACCAGGGACAGCTGGAATGACCCCTAGGAGCCCGGGCCCCCAGCCCCTACCAGCAGCGAGAGAGGGGCAGGGACTACCAGCAACAGAGGAACCAGAGGAACAACTACAGAAGGAGGAGCCGAGAGTGGAGGGACGACGGGGCCAGGGACAGGCAACCAGACAGGGAATTCCGACAGCCCAGGGACAGGGACAGGGACAGGAGACCCCAGGGACAACGAAACTGGAGGCAAGACAGAGCCCCAACCAACGATATACAGGTACACCCCTTCCCCCCAGGTACGTCCAGCAGGAACCCCGCCAACCCAGGGACCAGGGAAGCAGGAATCGCCCCCGCACCCTGACCAGGCAGCAGGACGACCGCAGAGGAGCTTGGTATCACAACAGCGAGCGCAACTACGGAGAGCAGAGGCCAAACTACGAGAGGAATTGGTAATCTCCGAGGTGCCCCTCACACCACTAGAAATTAAGGTTTTAGGGAAAGGGTTGTTTTTTTCCAGGTCCACTGAGTACGAGAGTCTCCCTGTCCAACGTGGAAGAAACCTGGGATAGGATTGAAACGGCAATCATGAGGAAGATGGATGAGGCGACGGACAAATGGATGGGGAACCAGCAGCCGAGGCCATGCAGACCCCCACCGTCAACCCTGGAATCCTACCTCCTGCCAGACTTTCGACAGCCCCCGCCTACGAGGAAGAGACCAGCATTAAGAAGAAAGGTTCAAGCCTTGAAGAGAGAGGCAAGGACCACGCCCTTCTTCACAAGAGAAAACCTTAAGAAGGGAGAACGAGGAGCACTGAAAGGTCTGATCCATAACCCTAATATTGTTGCTAACAAGGCGGACAAGAGTCCCTCGATTGTTATTATGTCCACAGAGAACTACAGGGCCGCGGGCATGAAGCACTTGAAGGACGAGAGGACCTATGAACCTATAACAGATGGCAGAGCCGCCCTAGAGCAAGCCCAAGAAAGGGATAAGAAACTAATCCTTGACTTGTACAGAAACGAAGGCAGAGCAGGAACGATGACAGTAGCCCTGAGAGACTCTTTTCTGAAGCACAAAAGCAGGGTACCCAGTATCTATTTTCTGCCCAAAACGCACAAGGACCTGGACCCGACTACAGGTACATGGAAAACGAGACCTGTAGTTTCAGGTTGTGCAGCACCCACCAGGCCAGTAGATAAATTCCTGACAGCCTTGCTGATGCCCTTAGTGGAGTTACTCCCGAACAGGATCAAAGACACCACCCACTTCCTACAGAAAATGGAAGCCTTGAAGGACGAACTGCAAGAAATCCCTGAGGACTATAGGTTAGTATCCTTAGATATCGAGTCTCTATACCCCTCTATCCCGCAGAAAGAAGCAGCAGCTAGAGTGAGCTCCTTCTATGGAGACAGACTACCAGACATCAAGGACGTACTAAGGAACAGAGGAATAAGGACACCGCCATCCCAGGCTCTCATCAGGAAAGCAATCCTGCATGTGATGCAGGACACTCTCCTTGAATTTGATCGCAGAACCTACAGACAGAAGACAGGAACAGCGATAGGAGCGTCAGTAAGCGTGGCAATTGCAGAACTATTCGTCTACCTAACGGTGGAAGTAAGGCTGAAAAGAGCAAATCTTAATCTCCTTGTTTTTTGCAGATCCATTGAGGACATCATCTGCATTATCCCAGGAGCTGAACCTGAAGTGCAACGGACGCTGACCTGGCTGAATGGTGTCAACAGAGCCTTGAGATTCACCTTTGAAATGGAGGAGAAGGAACTCCCCTTCTTGAATACAAAAGTCTACTTGGACGCAAAATGTTGCCTCCAGACGAAGACGTACTACAAGCCATCACACACCCACCAATTCCTCCTGTGGACCTCAGCACACCCAACCTCCCTCAGGAGGTCCCTGCCGTACTCCATGGCATTGCGAATCAAGAGGATATGCAGCGAAACAACCGAATGTGAGTATGCAACGGCAGAAATGCTGAATTTCTTTAGGTCTAGAGGGTACCCAGAGATGGTTCTGCAGGAGGCGCAGCAGAAGGTGGACCGCCTGGAGAGACCAAGCTTCTTGGTGGTGAAGCTGAAACCGGCCCTAGGAAGGATGATCCTACCAGTGAAGTTCGAGCCCAGGATGGCCAGGACCATTAAGATGCACTTGAAGGATCTATGGACCTGGATTGAGCAAGTGTATGGAGAAGCCCCATGGTTCGAGCACTTTCCCCGGCAGCAACCACTAGTAGCATGGATGAAGTTCGACTCAATTAAAGATCTACTGGTAAGAGCAAGATTCCCGAAGTAGTAGTAACATAGTGGAGTCTAGACCCCTGCGGGTTTCGCCCTCTCCTGAAGGTGCGACCCTGGAAGGCAAGGGTAGGGCGCTACCCTCCCTTGAGACCCCGGACTGAGCCAGGGTGGGGCGCTCAGTGTTGGCATGTTTATGCCGCACAACGAAACAATTAGCAGGAGACAGTCTTATGACGTCGCTTATTTGTGAAAAGGCTAAGCAGTTGCATGACGATTTGGTAAAGAAATTGCCTGCAACTAGTGGTGATGAGTGAATTTAACGCCAGCAAAGGCTGGTTTGAGAGATTTAAGAAGCGTACTGGCATACACAGTGTGGTAAGGCATGGTGATGCTGCCAGTTCAGACCACAAGGCGGCTGAAAAATATGTGCATGAATTCAAGGAGTACATAAACAGTGAAGGACTGAAACCTGAACAAGTGTTCAATTGTGATGAAACAGGCCTCTTTTGGAAGAAAGTGCCAAAGAGGACCTACATTACTCAGGAAGAAAAGGCAATGCCTGGACACAAGCCTATGAAAGACAGGCTGTTCTGTGATAATGCTAGTGGGGATTTCAAAGTGAAGCCGTTACTAGTGTACCATTCCGAAAATCCCAATGTGTTCAAGAAAAACAATGTTATGAAGAGTAAATCGTGTGTGTTTTGGAGATCTAATAGTAAGGCATGGGTCACAAGGGACTTTTTTGTCGAGTGGTTCAGTGAAGTGGCCCTAGTGTGAAGAATTACCTCCTGGAAAAGAAATTGGATCTCAAGTGCCTCCTAGTAATGGACAATGCACCTGCTCATCCTCCAAACTTGGATGACCTAATTCTGAAGGACTTTGGGTTCATCACTGTAAAGTTCTTGCCCCCAATACCACTCCTCTCCTCCAGCTCATGGACTAGCAGGTCATTGCAAACTTTAAAAAACTCTACACCAAAGCAATGTTTGAAAGGTGCTTGAATGTGACCTCAGACACTCACTTGACCCTACAAGATTTTTGGAAAGAACACTTCAGTATTCTCCATTGCGTAAGCTTTATAGGTAAGGCTTGGGAGGGATATGAAAACTCAGTGGTATAAACATTTCTAATAATAAGAATCATCACACACATATGAGAAATTGCTAATTATTGTTTAATTTTGCAGGTTCCTACAATATTGGCCACCTGAGAGTTCCTGGTAAGCATGTTTCATGGTTGTGGGAAGGAAATGTTCTACTGATCAGCAATGATGACACTGATAGGGACAAATGAAAACAGTGATTAATTATAAATTAATTCTGAAAAATGTTAGTAAAGGCTATAGAGGAGTGTTATATCCTAAATATTAAAAGTTAACTGTTGATTGCAGGTTAGCTTGGACAGTACTTGTACCCTGGGTGTTGCTGAGTCATCAGGTATGCAGTATTCCATTCAGTTATTCATTTTAAGAAATCTAAGGGTATTACCAAGTTCTTATGTTTTTGAATTAGGTTTAACTGGACTAGAAAATATTGGAATATAAAATTTGTTAATATGTAATTAACATTTTTTGTGTGATAGATGAGATCCTGATTTTTGGTTATTTTCTTAACACAAAATAGCTCTTCAAAACTTATAAATTCCAATTTAGAGTAGGCAACTGATTTCCCTCAATGGAGGTGCCTTCATTATGGTATGGGGCTGTTGATGCAAGGAATTCTAATCTGCCTTACTTCATGGATCAAATTTAAATGCCTCCCATGCTCTATATCCTCCCCATGAATTTAATGTTTCTCATTGATTATAATGAAATCTGTCTTGGGTGCCAGAAGCATGGCATTTCATCGTACTTTGGTGTGAAAGTTTTCCAAAAAGATGTGTGTCCGATGATTTTAAGTTTATGGGATTTTCTTGCTACCACATTCCAGGCTTTTAAGTTTGTATTGTTATTTTGACATTTTCTGCAAACAGTGCATGAACTGGTTAGTGCCTTTTATTCATGTAATGTTTATATATGCACCTGGACTTCATAAATATTAAAATAGTATAAAATACCGACAGGTTGTTAGGTAAGACACACATGCAACAGTTAGGTATCTTTATTTCGAAACATTTCGCCTACACAGTAGGCTTCTTCAGTCAGGTACAGAGAAGTTGATAGACGTGAAGACGATGTAATCAGTCCATCACCCTTAAAGTTTTGAGGTGGTCAGTCCCTCAGTCTGGAGAAGAGTATTGTTCCATAGTCTGAAACAATATGGAGCTGAAGTGACAGGATGGAGCCTTGTATACCGCCAGGAGGCGAGATGTAGGCCACTAGTAGAGGTAAGAATGTAGTAGTTGGAAGGTCATGTCCCTTTCAAATCCAGCCGTTCTCACTAGTAGTTGTCCAAGTTGTTTTCTGTTCTGTACAAAGATACCATTGTGTTGGTGTCTGACAGTGAATATTAAAATGGTATAAAATGCCAACTGATTACTGTCTTCACGTCTCTTCTATCAACTTTTTTGTACTTGACTGAAGAAGCCTACTGTGTAAGCGAAATGTTTTGAAATAAAGATGCCTAACTGTTGCATGTGTGTCATGCATAACAACCTGTCGGTATTTTATACCAATTTAATATTCACTCTGACAGACAGTGCAACACAATGGTATCTTGGTACAGAACAGAAAATGACTTGAACTTCTACTAGTGAGAATGGCTGGATTTGAGAGGGACGTGATCTCTCAATGACTACATTCTTACCTCTACTAGTGGCCTACATCTCTCCTCCTGGCAGTATGAGGCTCCATCCTGTCACTTCAACTCCATATTGTTTCAGACTATGGAACAATACTCTTCTCTAGACTGACCACTTTAAGGGTGATGGACTGATTACATCGTCTTCACGTCTCTTCTATCAACCTTTCTGTACTCGACTGAAGAAGCCTACTGTGTAGGCGAAATGTTTTGAAATACAGATACAGTGGAACCTCAAAACTCGAACTGCTCCCAACACAACCAATTATGTAAGTGTATTTTTGTAAGTGCTTTTATAAGTGTATTTTTGAGGGTCTGAAATGGACTAACCTAATTTACATTATTCCTCATGGGAAGAAATTCATTCGGTAAAGGCATTCGAACAGCCTTCTGGACCAAAGAAAGTTCGATATTTGAGGTTCCACTGTACCTAACTGTTGCATGTGTGTCTTACCTAACCACCTGGACTTTGAAAATGTTTCAGCACTTAGTGACTTTTTCCATGAAATAATCCTATATTCTTTTATTTATTCAAGCTTTATACAATAAATATATTCACCACTTGCTATAAGTTAAGGACAAAAATATTTTAAGCTAAGCAACGTGTATGAAATTTTTTTTAGGTCTAGCTATATTGTTCACTTAATGTATGATAGTATGAAATTTGAGTCTATTATCAAGGTGGATTCCTAAGAATTTTCCCTCTGTTAGCTTTGTGATAGGTGATCTGTTTATCCTTATGTTAAGAGGTACATCTGTAGCTCTGTTACCAAACTGAATGAAGTAGGTTTTGTCAATGTTTAGTGTAAGTTTGTTAGTCCTCATCCAGGTAGATATTTTCTGTAATTCGGTGTTTACAGTATTGGCTAGCGTGACTGGGCTCGGGTGAGAGAAGACGTATGTAGTGTCATCTGCAAAAAGTGTGGGTTTGAGTAATTGCGAAGCATTTGGTAGGTCATTTATGTATAGGAGAAAGAGAAGAGGGCCAAGGACACTTCCCTGTGGGACACCAACTGTAATGTGAGCAAGGTTCTTCTAGTAAGACTATAATTGAATGAGGGTGAATGTGTGTGCGCGTGTGTCTGAATGTGCTTGTATCTGACCTCACTGGGAGATGGCTTGAGCGGTAAATGGCAAGACAGTTCTTTGCATTTCATCCAATGTTGATGCACCTGTACTAATTTGGCAGACATGACTCATATAAGCTTGTTTGACCTGCTGTGGTGTAAGCTTTTGCAATCACTGGTTCATTCAACTTAATGTACTTTATTCTGATAAACCTGAGGCAGGGTGATCCGAAAAAGAAACTTTCATTCCATCACTGTCTTGCCAAAAGCAAACTGATGAAGCATTTCAGATGCCCCTCCAAACTACAAATGTTTCCATGGTCATTGCTTCTTGTGGCATTAGTTATGGTTGGTGACATTGCACCCTTGGTCAGTGCCTCGTGTCAGATTGGTTAACATTGTTAGTCAACTGATTTTGGTGTTCTATAACCAACCAATAGAATGGCAGAGTAAAACACTGCATGACTTTAATGTCTTGTAGCCTCCCATCTCTGGTACATAATCCTGGACCTAAATTTTATCCTGTAATTTTGAAAGGCAGGAAACAAGGGACTAATAACCCCTTCTCCTGTATAAATTATTAAATATGTATGCAGAGAATTCATAGCTTGTAAATTAAGCCTTAAACTGTCCAAACATAGATCTGTGTTTACGAGTGTAGCACTCCGGCCTTGATTTTCTCCATTTGAAAGCATGTAAAAAAAAAAAAAAAAATAGATCTATGTTCGGAGCACTACGCAAGCAAACGTAGATCTACGTTTGGACAGTTTAAGGATTTAGAGGAAGTTTGGGGTTACTTTAAAGAAAGTGTCCAGAGGGCTGAGGTGGTTTGGACATAGAGAAAATGGAGCAAAATAGGGTGACTTGGAGAGTGTATAAATCAGTATTAGAGGGAGGGTGGGGTGGGGATTACCCTTGGATAGGCTGGAGGGAAGGGATAAAGGGAGATTGTGTGTGCAAGGGACTTGGACATCTAGCTGATATGTTAGATAGTGGAAGCAAATGTTTTTTTTTGGACTGTCCAATCTGTTGGAGTGCAACTGAATCCCTGTACTTGAGTTCTGGTGTTGGGAAGTACATTGCACTCTGAAAGAGATGTATGTATAACTCAGTTTGGAGGGGCATCTGAACTGTAGTATTGGTGCACTTCTAGTAAGACAGTGATGGAATCATTATTTAATTGCTTAGAAAATGCAATGAGCAGGAACATTGGTGCATATTAAAGACCTACTCCTAAGATATTCAAATAGTGTATTAGAATTAGCATAACAGAGAGTTGAGGTTATGTAGAATGAAAATTGGGGGCTATAAATGGTTTAATTTAACATGAGGTGACAAGTGGGCTATAGTTTTATGCATTTAGAGAAGAGTGTATAAGTGAATAACTAGGAGCTGATGTCAAAGTTTTTTAGGAATTTTGATCTGTGTAAGAATTACTACTATGTTGAAGTGGAAAGCACTGTTCTAGAGGACATAACTGGACAGTTTGAAGTTGTGTGTAAAATAATACTGAAAAATAATTGAAGTTTTAAGATGGAAAAAATCTAAAGGCATAATGACGACGAAGTTTGCAACTAGAGTATTTTGCTTTACTGTATTAAGAAATTAGAACAGACCTTCAATGTACCTGTACTTAGAGGTATGCTTACAGCAGGAGTAAGCCAGCTCACAAGGAAAAAAGATGTCATTGGGTAAGCGAAAGTAAATTAAAACTAGGGGATAGTTAAGATAAATGATCATCTGTTGGAAGAAAAATGGAGCAATAGGTTGCAAAGGCATGGTGTTGATATTAAGAAGGCAGTATCTGTGTGTGCAACAGAGATGTGTGATTATAGGGGGAGGAGGTGAGACAAATCTTGAGGGAAGATGATTGCTGTGAGAAGTAAAACAAACCTTTTCTATTCAGAATCTTCACACATATGAGTAATTGCAAATTGTTTAATTTTGCAGGTTCCTACAAGAGTGGTCACCTGAGAGTTCCTGGTAAGCATGTTTTATGGTTGTGGGAAGGAAATGTTCTATTGATCAGCAGTGATGACACTTGATAGGGACAAATGAGAACAGTGATTAATTATCAATTAATTCTGAAAAAAATGTGAGTAAAGGATATAGAGGTTTGTTATATCCTAGATATTAAAAGTTAACTGTTTGCAGGTTAGCTTGGACATTACTTGTGCCCTGGGTATTGCTCAGTCATCAGGTATGCAGTATTCCATTCAGTTTTTCATTTTAAGAAATCTAAGGCTATTACCAGGTTCTTATTTTTTAATTGGTTTCAAATGGGAGAATTTGAATACAAAACTGGTTAATATGTAACTAATGTTTTTAAGCATGATTGGCGAGATCCTAAGTTTGGTCCTGTTTTCTTATCACAATAGTTTTTCAAACTGCTAAATCCCCCCAATGAACAGGTCATAGTTGATGCTTGCATTTTTGGACCTTTCTTAATTCATCCATAGTAGCCTTTAATTAGCATACTAATATTAAAGGATCTTGATCAATAGTTTCAAGTTGTGGCAAGTCATCTAACATCAACTTTTCTACTGTCATCAACTGAAGAAAAGATAATGTACCCTACTTTACAGCACAGTAGCAAGATAGTGTTTATACCCTAAATAGATATTTGGTAATGCAGCAATACCTAGAACATTGTTTCATTATTTTTTCTAGGTGTGGCAAGTTGGATCCTGAGGCATTATAGTGTACTCTGACTGGTAAGATTTATGTGGTAAAATTAGTTTTCTTTGGAATTTGGTGATATGTATTCTAAATAACTGATTATTGTTGAAGTTAACTAGGGCGAACTGACGTTATATAATGGTATATACATTCTTTATCTCAAATGCAATTTTTACTTAATTCTTTTAATTTGCAGGTGGACTAGTGTTACCCATTTTTGGTGTAGATTGTTGGTAAGTAGTTACTACTTTAATGATGAAACTTAGGTTAATATTGTATCATAAACAAGGTATTAATGCTTCTTATTACTTAGAGGGTTCATAATAAAAGTTTGAGCTTCTGCTATTACTATTTTTCAACACAGTGTCTGATCACTGGTTATAGAGTAGTTTTAATGTTTAAATTCTTTGTGTAAAATTACCTTATTTTTTATTTTTATTATCACACCGGCCAATTCCCACCAAGGCAGGGTGGCCCGAAAAAGAAAAACTTTCACCATCATTCACTCCATCACTGTCTTGCCAGAAGGGTGCTTTACACTACAGTTTTTAAACTGCAACATTAACACCCCTCCTTCAGAGTGCAGGCACTGTACTTCCCATCTCCAGGACTCAAGTCCGGCCTGCCGGTTTCCCTGAATCCCTTCATAAATGTTACTTTGCTCACACTCCAACAGCACGTCAAGTATTAAAAACCATTTGTCTCCATTCACTCCTATCAAACACGCTCACGCATGCCTGCTGGAAGTCCAAGCCCCTCGCACACAAAACCTCCTTTACCCCCTCCCTCCCCAAACCCCTTTCCCAGGCCGACCCCTACCCGCCTTCCTTCCACTACAGACTGATACACTCTTGAAGTCATTCTGTTTCGCTCCATTCTCTCTACATGTCCGAACCACCTCAACAACCTTCCTCAGCCCTCTGGACAACAGTTTTTGGTAATCCCGCACCTCCTCCTAACTTCCAACTACGAATTCTCTGCATATATTCACCCCCACACATTGCCCTCAGACATGCAAACTCCACTGCCTCCAGCCTTCTCCTCGCTGCAACATTCATCCCCACGCTTCACACCCATAAAAGAGCGTTGGTAAAACTATACTCTCATACATTCCCCTCTTTGCCTCCAAGGACAAAGTTCTTTGTCTCCACAACTCCTAAGTGCACCACTCACTCTTTTTCCCTCATCAATTCTATGATTCACCTCATCTTTCATAGACCCATCCGCTGACACGTCCACTCCCAAATATCTGAATACGTTCACCTCCTCCATACTCTCCCCCTCCAATCTGATATTCAATCTTTCCTCCCCTAATCTTTTTGTTATCCTCATAACCTTACTCTTTCTGTATTCACCTTTAATTTTTTTCTTTTGCACCCCCTTACCAAATTATCCACCAATCTCTGCAACTTCTTTTCAGAATCTCCCAAGAGCACAGTGTCATCAGCAAAGAGCAGCTGTGACAACTCCCACTTTGTGTGTGATTCTTTATCTTTAACTCCACGCCTCTTGCCAAGACCCTCGCATTTACTTCTCTTACAACCCCAAACTATAAATATATTAAACAACCACGGTGACATCACACATCCTTGTCTAAGGCCTCTTTTACTGGGAAAAAATTTTCCCCCTTTCCTACATACTCTAACTTGAGCCTCACTATCCTCGTAAAAACTCTTCACTGCTTTCAGTAACCCACCTCCTACACCATACACTTGCAACATCTGCCACATTGCCCCCCTATCCACCCTGTCATACGCCTTTCCAAATCCATAAATGCCACAAAGACCTCTTTAGCCTTATCTAAATACTGTTCACTTATTGTTTCACTGTAAACACCTGTCCACACACCCCTACCTTTCCCAACCTCCTTGTTCATCTGCTATCCTATTCTCCGTCTTACTCTTAATTCTTTCAATTATAACTCTACCCTACACTTTAAACCCGGTACACTCAACAGACTTATCCCCTATAATTTTTTTCACTCTCTTTTAATCCCCTTTGCCTTTATACAAAGGAACTATGCATGCTCTCTGCCAATCCCTAGGTACCTTAACCCCCTTCCCTACATTTATTAAATAATTGCACCAACCACTCCAAAATATATCCCCACCTGCTTTTAACATTTCTATCTTTATCCCTCAATCCCGGCTGCCTTACCCCCTTTCATTTTACCTACTGCCTCACGAACTTCCCCACACTCACACTGGCTCTTCCTCACTCCTACAAGATGTTATTCCCCCTTGCCCCATACACGAAATCACAGCTTCCTATCTTCATCAAAATTTAACAATTCCTCAAAATTTTCCTTCCATTTTCCCCAATACCTCTAACTCTCCATTTAATAACTCTCCTCTCCTATTTTTAACTAAACAAATCCATTGTTCTCTGGCTTTCTTAACTTGTTAATCTCACTCCAAAACTTTTTCTTATTTTCACAAAATTTGTTGATAACATCTCACCCACTCTCTCATTTGCTCTCTTTTTACATTGCTTCACCACTCTCTTAACTTCTCTCTTTTTCTCCATATCTCTTCCCTCCTTGCATCCCCTTCTACTTTTTTAAAAACTTCTCATATGCTAACTTTTTCTCCCTTACTACTCTCTTTACATCATCATTCCACCAATCGCTCCTCTTCCCTCCTGCACCCACTTTCCTGTAACCACAAAAATTCTGCTGAACACTTAACACTACATTTTTTAAACCTACCCCATACCTCTTCGACCCCATTGCCTATGCTCTCATTAGCCCATCTATCCTCCAATAGCTTTTATATCTTACCCTACTGCCTCCCTTTTAGTTTTAAACCTTCACCTCTCTCTTCCCTGATGTCTTATTCTCCTTGTATCCCATCCCCTTTTACTCTCAGTGTAGCTACAACAGAAAGTGATCTGATATATCTGTGGCCCTCTATAAACATGTAACATCTGAAGTCTACTCAACAGTCTTTTATCTACCAATACATAATCCAACAACTACTATCATTTCGCCCTACATCATATCGTGTATACTTATTTATCCTCTTTTTCTAAAATATGTATTACCTATAACTAAACCCCTTTCTATACAAAGTTCAATCAAAGGGCTCCCATATCATTTACACCTGGCACCCCAAACTTACCTACCACACCCTCTCATAAAGTTTCTCCTACTTTAGCATTCAAGTCCCCTACCACAATTACTCTCTCACTTGGTCAAAGGCTCCTATACATTCACTTAACATCTCCCAAAATCTCTCTCTCTCCTCTGCATTCCTCTCTTCTCCAGGTGCATGCACGCTTATTATGACCCACTTCTCGCATCCAACCTTTACTTTAATCCACATAATTCTTGAATTTACACATTCATATTCTCTTTCTCCTTCCATAACTGATCATTTAACATTACTGCTACCCCTTCCTTTGCTCTAACTCTCTCAGATACTCCAGATTTAATCCCATTTATTTCCCCCCACTGAAACTCTCCTACCCCCTTCAGCTTTGTTTCGCTTAGGGCCAGGACATCCAAATTCTTTCGAATTCCATTCATAAATGAATAATTTATTGAACCCTAAACTTGTATTTATATTATTTTATATTTCTTACATAAAGTTTGATTCTGTGATATTTTTCTCACCCGTGGCTCTGCATGATACAGCCTTCTCAGCCCTTTGAAAAGCAATTGGGTGTTTAACCCTTTGACTGTTTTCGAAGTATAAATACGTGTTACGAGCCAATGTTTCTGACGTATATATACTCAATAATTCTAGCAGCTTCAAATCAAGCGGGAGAAAGCTGGTAGGCCCACATGTGAGAGAATGGGTCTGTGTGGTCAGTGTGCACCACATAAAAAAAAAATCCTGCAGCACACATTGCTTAATGAGAAAAAAAAAAACTGATCGTTTTTTTGGAATAAAACGCCGACTTTGAGGTGTATTTTCGTATAGTATTTATCGTTGTATTCACATTTTCATGGTCTTAGGTGATAAAATGGAAAACATATTACAGAAATAGAGATGATTTTCATTACTTTGACGATGAAAACGACCTTGAAACTGAGCTCAAAGTAGCGGAAATGTTCGATTTTTACCAATGTTCAGTAGTAAATAAATCACACCACACGTCCAATACACGTCAACTGGGGAGTCTAATATTCTTTCACCAGTGCACTGATATTATTTATACCATTTTTATAATAATACAGTAGTCTGCATAACAGTAAATTTTGTATTTTTTTGTATGAATAAAAAATCAAAATAGAAAGCAATAATAATATAAGAGGGGCCTAGAGATGTGACTAATGAACAGAGCATATGTTATTTTAGTGCCACGAATGTCTACCTTGTTTATTCTGGACCCTATTTTGAAATTGGCATCTTTTTTAGTTTGTGTGAAATTGGCCAAATTGCCAATTTCTGACCACCATATTGGGTAGTCCAAATTAGTAAATGGGAGGTTTCTTGTACTCAGCTGATAGATAAAATGGAGTTCTAAAGAAATAGCTGTGAGTTTGGTCAACTGGAACAATGGAATTGGCTGAAAATAGGGCTCAAATTCGGTGAAATCGCCGATGCGCATATGTCGCCGAGACCGCTAACTTCGCGGGAGCATAATTCCATGAGTTTTCGACCAAATTTCGAACTTTTGGTGTCATTACCATCGGGAAAAGATTTTCTTATCATTTCATAAGAATTTTTTTTTTTTTTTTCAAAAATTGAGCGACATAGAATGACAGTTTCAGAGAGGGGCCTGAAACAGTCAAAGGGTTAAGGGGCAGTATAGCAACTTTTTTTTTTACCGTCACATTTCTTTTATTGTTGGTGCACAAGACGATGTATTTACACTATTTACTATAAATATTTGTCAATAAGATATCCCAAACAACAGCTGAGAAAAAACGATTTACTGAAAATATCCTTTGGCAGGATCGTAGTCCTATATGGGACGACGTAAGGTTGTTTGGGCACTTGGTACCGAGAGAACAATGCTAATACGAATTTTTCATGATGCACTTTCCTCTAAATATCTTACCTTTATTCCACAAAAAAATAGTTTGTTCTCAGACTTTTGCAAAAAATCTGCCCTTTACTCTCACATAAATCCCAAAATATTTGGAATATTTCCAAAAGTGCATCAATAAAATTAAGAGCAATCATTATTTTACAATTTCTGTGAGTATTATCCCGCTTAAGTAATAAAGGTGTAGGAAAGCGAAATAAGTTACTTCCGAGATATTGGCCTGGAACGCCGGCCGGCC